TTGTTTACCATCAATTCAAAACTTATGTGTATCTTAAATGATGTGATCACGTAATGGGATCGGCAGTCATGTAGTGATATCATGTGGTGTAATTATATTGTGTGACTATAATCCGATCACGGTGCAATCATGTGGTGAAAATCATATAGTCTGATCATGTAGTCTGATCATATTGTACGATCATATGGTTCAATTATGGACGTACCATTCGTGATTTAAAATAAATAAATAAATAATAGTTTTAGAGTGAAAAAAAACAAATATTATTTTTATTAAGTTTGTGGAGCAATTGAAATATCTAGTATACTCATATTTTACTTTACGACAAGTTCGATCCTGCTGCCAAAGACAGTGCAATCAATTTTTAGGTTTCGTTGATTTACACGCTCGCGCGTGCACTACACATGTACCGATGTGTGTAGATCAACAATGCCTAGGGATTCATTGCACTGCCCCTAATGGTAGGATCGAATTTTCACTTACTTTTGCTCCCATAGAAAGTGCAATCAAATTTTAAAAGTCATTGATTTATACGCTCGCGCGTGCACAACACATGTAATGATGTGTGTGGGACTAACTGCACTGCCCTTAGGGTAGGATTGAATTTCACTTACTTCACCATCCATTTTCTCCTTCCTTCCACGTCACTTATCCTCAAGATACATTTAGATAACGACAGTGATATAAAAACCACTTGATGTGGCAAATGTAGTTGTGGCATGAAACATCGAGCCATAATAGATAGGATTTGCATTTAGCGCGAGGCAAGGGGACGACATTGATAAATTTATATAGATATGCGGGTTGCTAAAGGATCTAGAGTACAACTTGTTGTTCGGCCCTAACGAGTCGAATGTGACTCCTTCATTCAACAGGTGTAAATCGAACATGGATTCATATGTTTAATTAGTTGAATGGCTTGAACCATGTTTGATTGGCGGTCCGCTTGACCAACAATCATCTTCCTCTGTGTCCTCCCTAATAGAAAACATTTTTCAACCCTATAACTTATTAAAAACACCTATTTTGATGGGACTACCAACAATTGCTTAATCAAAAGATTACTTTGATAAAAATATCACATTATGACAACTACTTAGAGTATGTTTGGTAAACCAAATAAGCTAGCTTATAGCTTATTTGGTTAGCTTATAAGCTTTTTGTATTTAAATAGCCTCGTTTGGTAGGACGAACTTATTTAAAAAGCTCGAGCTTATTTGATAAGCTTGTTTAGGTAGCTTTTCAAATAAGCTAGTTCAATTTTTTATTCCAACTAGCTTATCAGCTCATTTTACCAAACACTTTTAGCATATAAGCTAGCTTTTCAGCTATAAGTCATAAGCTATAAACTATAAGCTCAAAAATTACATATAAGCTATAAGCTAGCTTATCAGCTATCAGCTAGCTTATCAGCTTGTTTTACCAAACATAGCCTTAGTGTATATATGTTCATGTGTGATTTTACACCATATTCATATAGTATCTAGAGCTTAATTGTTGCATTTGTGGTGTATAAATTGCATATTTGTGCTTTAGTTCTATATTTGTTGGAAAGGTATTACGCGTGCTTGTTTTGTAGATATTTTCACATATTTGTAGAGCTTTTGGCTATTGGAGGAGCATGGTAGGTGCCTAAGAGCCCCGGGATGATGATAGATTGATGCACGGATGAGAAAAATAGAAGAAACGAGCAAAACGGACAAAAACGTGCATGCTGGGACCTGACACGGGCTGTGACACGACCTCCGTGCCCGTGTCAGAGACCATGTCACGTAGCTGGGAGGATTTTGAAGCCCCGGAGACCTGACACGACCTGTGACACGACCTCTGACACGGGCGTGTCAGGTCGTGTCGCGACGCGGGCAGTTTTTAATCGCTTACCTTTTTCGCTTAGGAGAGGACTTTTGGACATATAAAAAGACCTATTTACCTGATCTTGAGCCGGAGAACGTGATTACGCAAGGAAGAGAGTCAGAGAACACGCAAGAGAAGCAATTGAGAAGAAGAGAAGATCGACGACAAGCTTACTAGTTTTTCTTTCTATCTTTTGAACTTGTTTTTTCATGTTGATTTTGAATATGTCTATGTATTTGATTTCAAACATGAGTAGCTAATCTTCTTTGATTCTAAGACATGGTAGTAGATTAATAGTTTGGGATTTTTGGATGATTTATTATAATTGATCGTTTTCTTTTGAACCCTATTCAAATATTTCGTGCTTATTTCATGAATTGCAACTGGCCATTGCTTTTACATGTTTGATGATATTGTTCATAATTCGAGAGATGAGTTCAATATAAGATCTTTAATATTTGACACAATTTGTTTACTTGAATCGAGAGATTAGTAGATAGTTGTGAGGAATTTTGGTCTTTTAATCTATTTGGAGTTGAATTGCATGTGTTGAGTGGAAACGCTAATATATGTGATTTAATCTACAGTTTTATCGATCTCGAGAGGGACGATAGGCTAATTTCGTGATCATCTTATAGGGTAGATAAAGAAAATAGTTAATTGTGATATATCTGAAGGAACCCAACTGTTAATTGAACCTATAGTCTTAGAATCTATCATTCCCATATATTCTTCTTAAGTGTTTTTCTAGTTGTTTTCTTGTTATTGCTTTCTTATCTTTTGATTTATTTGCTTAGTTTAGTTAATCAATCTCATATTACGATCGTCTAAATAAAGTTGACACTATCATAATCTGGTACTTGATTAATTGGTTGTTTGGTCTCTTGGGATACGACCTTACTTGCCACATACTACGAGCGAAGCCGTACACTTGCGGTCGAGCTTTAAAAATATAGGCGAACAATATATTAGAAAATGAACTTAAACTATAAAATAACATTATTTTTGTCATCTCACAACTGTAATGCTTCTAGAGTGATTAGTGAAATCTAAAGTTGATCCTTTTTAACTAATTCTGATTGAAATCTTAATGCAAAGTAGTCTAACACAATCCACCATTATATCTAAATTAGTCAAAACCAAAGACTACTCAACATAGTTAGTACTACTCAAATACAAATATTGTTCCTAGAATTGTGACTAAATATAAATAGTTATTCATGCATTTGCACTAGTCGAGCCATGTCCGATCTTATGTACTTGAGTTCGGTCTCTGAGTCTTTATTTAGACTTCTCAGTCGAGCCAAACTAATCTCATTTACTGAACGGGTAAAAAAAAAGGTTCGAGATCGGCTCGTTCATTGATATATGAATGAATTGAAATCGAGCCGTAAGGAATCAACTTAATAGAAAAAATTTAAAACAATACAAATTTCTATTATTGAGCCTAAACAAGTTGATTTTTGCATTGCTCCTTAATTAAACAATTTTACGAACATTTCGTTTCATTTAACAATTATGCTATTCCTATATTGACATTGTTGAGATTCAAATTGTTTATAGAAAACTGAAATTTTGAATTTTGTCAATAATAGTAATAATAATAGTAATTTAATAAATAAATTACCTAAATGTCAAAAGGATAATTAAAATTACCTAATTGTCAAAACTCAAAAGTAATACCTAAATAATCATTATAATAAAACAATTTAACTTAGATAAAACCCACTCCCCATTTTTTTAGCCTTTTATTCCCCACAAGCGGAAAAACTCCCGGCGAACTTCCTCCGGCGATAATCCCCGATTGCCTGCACGAACCCCGGCGAATTGCTCAGTTTGCCCCTTCACAGCCACTCTTACTTCGTATAACTGAGAAAAGCCCTTCCCTTTTGGGAGAAGGCTATACGTACACGGAGCAGTGTGTATCTACGGCCGATAATGTGCGAATGGCTCAGTTCAGGCAATCCGGCGGCGGCATCAACGGGTCCCGAAACGGCGTCGTGCCGGATCACGTGTCGGTTGGGGTCCGCGGCGGCGCGAGACACCTGTACCACCGGCGATCGAAGGCCCCGTCGGCTTACAAGATCTCAATCTGTTTCAGCGTCTTGACGCTCTCTCTCATCCTGTCGATCTACGCTTTCTTCTTTCTCTCGCTGCCAAGCAAAGGTGAATTCTGGGACTTGCGTCGTAGAGTGAGACCATTGGTGTACTGTGTAAAGCTTCGTGCTTTTCTTTCTATTTTGCCCCTTTCATTTGTATTTGAGCAGTACTTAGTGGGAAATTTGATGATTAATAACTGCTAATCCATGCAATAGTAGCTGGGCCTGGACTTAAGTCAGAATCTTTCTTGTGGGGTGGCTGATTGCTGGTAGTGGGATAACATTTGTATGTGTTAAATAGCTCGCTATAATATTTGAAATTTTTGGGGATTATGTTTATGTGGCAGTACTTCAGTTTCAATTTGGAATCTGAATGACTGATCAGTGCTCTAGTCTACGTGAGGATTGGGCGACTTGTTGAGTCGCCTAGTACGCAGAACAACTTATGAGCACATTTTGTTACATTTGAGCTACCACATTTTTTAATTTTTATTCTTTTCTGATGAGAAGCTACCACATTCAATTAAGTGGAATGTATATGAGGAAATCGATCTAGTAAATTTTCCAATATGGTTTTATGGAACATTAACTACATTAGGTTTAATAGTTAATCTAAGCTTGTAGATACTTCAATATGAACTGTACTGTTGTAATATTTGTTAATCGTTGTGGATCCTGATTTCTATGCCTTGTTGACGATTGACATTTTATGTTTTGCTGCTTGAATTGTCCTCCATCTCTGTTGTTTTATGGAATACTTGTTTTTACTTACAACTTGGATGCAGAACAAGTGCTAGAGATTTTTGCCCAACTCATTTTTTTTTTTCCTATTGTGTGTGTTAGGAGTGGAAATTCACAGACATCAAGCTCAGGATGATGACACAGGCAACGAAACTGATTTTCTTATGGACGTGACACAAATACAGAAACCCAAAGAACTCAAATTTGGCCGTGGATCAGTCACTCATGGTCGGGACTCAAGGTACTGGGATAAGGATGATAGAAGAAGGGATGAGGATTATACCGAAGAGGACCTCGAACTAGCTCGTGGTGGCTCAGTGGATAAGATTCAGACTTCTTTGCAAAACAGAGATAAAAAACCTCACAATAACCAATCTCGTCAAGTTTCTGATCACAAAGGGAGTTCCTTGTACAATGAGGCTGGTCGCAATGAATTGAAACTGTACGAGGCTGAATACGAGGCCTCTTTAAAGACTGTTGGTGGGTCCACGGGCACTCATGGCTTTTCAAACCGGAAATCTGATGATGCTGATGGGAGGGACCACAGCATACTGGACGATGCTGATGATTATGATGATGGTATTGATTTTCAGGATGATCAGATGGAAGAAGGTGAGGATATGCATGATGAGACCGACCGATCAAGTGCCGCCAAAATCAATGTTATCAGCTCTGGGGGGGCTTCACGTGTGGATAATGATAGGAAAAATGAACAAAACATCTATGAGAAGGTTGATAAAGGGGATGTAATCTCTGGGCATGCGAGTGGTGCAGAAAGTCAGCCTGTTCGGAGGCAGATTCCTGAAAAGCGCTCGGGTTCGAAAAAGAAGCCTAAGCGTCGAAAATTTTCTGGTAATGATCTTTTTTGTGTAGTACGTGGAGTATTTTCTTGGCAGCATGTTTTTTCAAATTCCTCAGTTTTTGGTTTCACAAGAACTAATAATGAGGTATCTACTGACTAACTTGACTATGACCTGAATTAAATTATTTCCTAAGGCTAAATAGGAAGTTCCAGATTTCTCATAACAAACTAAGTACTACAGGCAGTGAATTCGGAGACTATGTTTGATTGTCGCCTCTGCTTATTGGCCCCTTTAATCAAGAACTGGCATTAATCATAAGTTGTAGAATATAATAGCAGAACTGATAGCTGCTGTAAATTTTTACTTCTTGCGTAAGGGATTGTTGATATGCCCGGGCAACATTTCATTTTCGAATATATACGTAGCACGATTTCTTAATTGATGAATGACATTTTAATTAAGAAAATGTTAACTTCCCCACCACCTATTGGTTTCAGGTTCTTGTGGAATGAAAATTTTGAACGCAAGTTCACTACTCGTTGAACCCCTAGAAAGTCGAAAATTTGCAAGATTTTCCTTACAATATGCAGAGAGGGAAGAGAAGCCAATTGGAGATGAGAAATGGGAACCAAGATTTGCTGGACATCAAAGTCTAGGAGAACGGGAAGAATCTTTCATTGCTCGTGATCAGAAAATTAACTGTGGCTTTGTGAAAGGCCCTACAGGGTCACAAAGTACAGGATTTGACTTAGCAGAAGATGATGCAAAGTACATTAGCAGTTGCCACATTGCTGTTATGTCTTGCATCTTTGGTAATTCTGATCGCTTGAGATCGCCAATAGGCAAGACAGTAAGTTTGTTTGCAATCCCCTTTTTTTGTTCCATTTCAGCCATTAATGTATGAAATGAACATGAGTTGCACATTTATGCTTATCGCAAGTTAAAGAATAAGTGACTGATCTCACTTTTTTTTTTTTTTTTTTTGGAAACATAGGTATCTCGACAATCAAAGAAAAACGTATGCTTTGTTATGTTTGTGGATGAAGTAACTTTACAGACTTTATCATCAGAAGGCCAAATGCCTGATATGATGGGATTTGTTGGGTTGTGGAAGATGGTAGTGGTCAAGAATCTTCCGTATACAGATATGCGGAGAGTAGGGAAGGTACCAAAGTTTCTGCCACATCGGCTTTTCCCTTCAGCCAGGTATATAAAGCACAGCTGAATAATTTAAGTTTTATTTTATGATACATTGTATAGCTATTTTTTCTCCTCACTGCCTTTTGCCCCTTGGTTTTTTAGCTCTTTTTTTAGGTTATTCTATTATTAAATTCGTGCTGTGATCAAGTTGTATTGGAGATGAGATGAACTCTGGCGTTATCATAATGGGTTACAAAACGATGAACAAGCTAAAGCTGTTATTCTGATATAGTCTATGATTAGTGGTTACCCAGATATTTAGAACCGAACTTGCAAAATTTGTTTACTATGTCTACGTTTGACGGACACAATTTTAGAGCCATGGTTGTTCTGCACTCTCTTAATGTGTACACACCTACTTGAGACTGACGACCAGTTTGAGGAATTTTGCTGTCTAAAAGATGCTTTCTTTGATGTACAGTCAACCTGTAAAAATAATCACGCTGGAGAAGGCCACACGTGGCCTTCCATAGTAGTATTTCTTTAACTTATACCTTTTGGTGTTTGTTAGATATGAATTAAATTACCAAAGAACTCTGTGCCACTTAATTGCAGTGCATTGATTTTTGAGATACAACAGCTAAATCATTATGGATGCATAGTGATTGAAAATTTTCTTTTGGTTTTTCTTCTTGAATTACATGGAGTTGGTCCGGCTTATACACAAACATGTACAATTTGGCATTAGCATCAAAACATGAATTATTTAAGCCTAATTTCTTGCCAGGATAAGTTCTGCGCAGAAATAATTGCTTATCTTGCTTTTTACCGAAAACACTGCGCAAAATATTTTGTGATCCTAATTGAGAACATTTGTCTGTATACTATTTCAGGTACTCGATTTGGTTGGACAGCAAACTACGTCTCCAGCTCGATCCAATGCTTATCTTGGAATATTTCCTGTGGAGAAAAGGTTACGAATATGCAATTTCAAATCACTATGATCGCCACTGTTTATGGGAAGAGGTTGCCCAGAACAAGAAGCTCAACAAGTACAACCATAGTGTTATAGACGAGCAATTTGCATTCTATGAAGCAGACGGGATGAGAAGATTTAATGCATCAGATCCTAACAAGCTTCTACCGAGCAGTATTGACATTATTCCACTCTCATCTTTCCGTAGTATATTTGTTCTGGCACATTTTTTCGGGCTACATGTGATTTTGTTGATTTTTTTTGGGTACTTTTTGCCAGATGTACCTGAAGGGTCTTTCATCGTCAGGGCTCATACGCCAATGTCGAATTTATTTTCTTGCCTTTGGTTTAATGAAGTCGAGCGGTTTACGCCTCGTGACCAGCTGAGCTTTGCCTATACGTATCACAAGCTGAGAAGGAAGAATCCCGACAAACCCTTTTATCTGAATATGTTCAAGGTATGTTATGGTGTGCAAAATTATAGACGATACCTTAAGGCTCATCTAATTACATTAAACCACACTATCTAACAAATTTGTAAAGACTCCTGATGTTTTTATGGGTATATGTTTAACTGTTGAGAAGCCTGTAAGTCTTCTAGTAGTTGTAGTGTCATTTTATTTGCTGGAATACAATTGTTTAACATGCAGCCTTTTGTTTTTTC